CTTAATTAGAATGAGATTAAATTTATAATACTCATAAAAAAGAGCTACCAATAAGGGATTAATAAATTTAATATATTATATTATAATTTATTTAAATTATAAGATATTAAATTATAGTATTTTTATATGTATATTATTTAAATTATAAGATATTAAATTATAGTATTTTTATATGTATAGAAATTTCAAAAGTTTTCTAATTAGAATAGGACTAAATTATTTTTAATTAATCAACTAATAAAATTAAGAGTTTTCTAATTAGAATAAGACTAAATTATTCTTCAATCAACCAATAAAATCAAAAGTCTGCAGGGGCGTTTTAGGAACCCAATATTCCTTCTCATTCGCATGCGTGTGCGTACACACACATATATATAATTTGGAATTCCCACACGCACACATACACACACGTATATAATTTGGAATTCCTATACATGTAAAAAACATTATGATTTATTATATTATAACTTGAATATTGAAATTCCCTTAGATATTTTACTTCCATCAAAATACTTAAAACTAAAAAAATAAAAAATAAAAGATATTATTTTAACAAATATTAATTTTACAATTCAAATAAAATTTAAATTTTGGTTAAAGCTTTAGCAACGGATAAAAAAGTTCGTTGCTAACCTCTATGTACACCCAACTCTCAGCGGCGGAAGACTAATATAACGATTAAAGAAACTAATATAATGAATCTAATTAAAAAATATTATACAATTTTAATCGATACATAAATAAAATTTTTTTAATTAGAGAGTCCATCTCTTTAAGATAGTTTATGATAATGCCATTCAGGAGGGAAAACTTGTAAGCTTATAATTATTTATGATTAATAAACAATTACAATTAATCTATAAATCTAAATTATAAGAACTATAAATAAAAATTATTATATTAATTTATAAATAGAGAGAGAGTTAAGGTTTTACTTACCGTAAGAGAAGACATGATTGCAAATTCAATAATTTCAAATTAGCAAAAACTTGATGTAATAATTCTTGATAGTCAAAAGCAACATAATTTTTATTTTAATTTTAGCATATTTTAATTTTAACATAATTTTTATTTTTTCATTAATTATCCATTATATTTATATTAATCTCAATATGAAATAATGTTTTAACATTATAAAAATTTTAAAAAATAAAAAATGTAATACTTAATATCATACAAAATAAATAATGAGTATAAAATAAGCAATAATAATGTGCAACACGCATCATAAACAAAACTAATACTAATAATAATAAACATAATCTTTTAAATATCTTACATGTTATCAACATTATGGTGATTTTATTTATAGCATTTTGTTGTTTGGGTAATTATGTAGAAAGAAGTGCAAATCTCCTTTTTGATAGAAGGAAGAATTTTGAAGATAATCATATCAGATTTGTAGAAAGACCATGAAGTCGAACAGTGGCCATGAATAGCCACCAAGTGGAGCGAGCGATTGCCTACGGCAAATGTATTATGCTTTGTCAACTTGATCGGATACTTCAAATCAAGATTGTGTATTTTTATTTTTTGTATGAGTAGTTTATTATTAGACTTACTTTACAAAAATATAAAAACATATTGATTTATATTTTATATCTGTATACGGTTTCCTCTCAATCAAATTTTCAGTTTGATTTCCTCTAAAAAAAAAAAAAAAAAAAAAAAAAAAAAAAAAAAACAAATCTCAATCACATATTTCATAACAATTTCTAAAAAAAAAAAAAAAAAAAACAAAATCTCACATTCACATATTTTCATAACAATTTGCTCTATAGCAAAATACTGTTGAAATACATCTTCAATTTCCTATAGATATGCTAGAGTCTAGGAATGGGATAACATCCTAAGACTTTTTGTTGGATATTGTTTCTTGAGGTAATGATATTGATATTATTTCTCTTGCAAAACAAAAAAGAAATAGATCTTCAATTAAAATTATAATCAATTATACCAATAGAAATATATAGATAAGTAAATCAAATAATAATAAATCACATACAAATTGGAAGATAGATAAAGAATTCTTTGCTATTAGATCGATTTGATCTATCTTTTTTTCTTCCCTTCTCTTCAGCATTTTTGGCCTTTCTATCTGCTTTAGCCTCCCTACTCTTTCATCTCCTTCTTCTTCCTTTTTTTTTTTTTTTTCCTTTCCTTTTGGCAGATATGAGAATCTCATGTCTGTTTTCCTCACACGTACGCACACAGTGTTACTATCAACAATAGTGACTAGATTTAAAACAATAAAAATATTATTATCATTAACATTAATGGTTTTGTTTCTTTTTCTCAATTATTGTGCATAAAACATGTTAAATGTTTTAGTAACTATCAAGCTAAAGATCAGAAGAAGAGATTAGAAGCTCAAAGTAAGGAGGTTTCTTACATGTTATAATAGTTCTTACGTGATACTCTTGAAGAATCTTTTCCATTTTTTGGTTTTGTAGGAAAGATAATCCCACGTTGATTTGAATCAATTCAGATGCACCCATTTTTAATAAGATTTTGGTGAATTTTCTACTATAGTAGATATTCAAGAATTAATACATGAAATTTTAATGAATTTGAAGGATTTTATAATCTTTATTATATTTATATATTTTAAATTTCTTTAATATATTTATATTTCTTTAATTATAATATTTATATATTTATATTTCTTCAATTATAATACCTTTTTTTAGTTTATTAATTACTGGTATCCATTCGAAAGCTCACTAGGCTCTCACTACGTCTACTCGAGTAGGGCTCGTGTAAGAGATGACTCTCCCATATCCAAGGTTCAAATCTGAGATCTTTGGTTAAAGGAGAAAGAGTCTCGACCATTTTATCCTAACAAACGTTGGTACTGGTATAATACTTTCGTCTGTAAGCTTCTTTTAACAATAATAATAAACTGAGGTTTTATTTTTCCAAGATAGTTTCATTTCAAGAGATGTTGTCTTCCAAGAAAGTATTTTTCCTTTTGATTCTCATGTTACTCCTGACATTGGTTTGTCTCCTCCTGTTGATAATTCATCAGATTCTTTTTCTTATTTTCCCTCCAATTTTCGTTCTCAGGGTACTTCTCGAAATAATTCTAACTCATCTCTTCCTTCTCCAATCCATACAAATACATTTTCTCCTCCTGTTTTATCTTCTAATGGTATTGATCTCAATAACACTTCTGTTCTTTCCCTTCCAGATACCTCTAATAATTTTGTTCCTGTTAATAATCCTACTTCTCATCTTAGGAGAAGTTCTAGACTTCATAAGCTACCATTTTTTTTTGAATGCTTATCACTTACCTGAAACCTCTTCTTCTTGTTTCACATCTCACCCTCTTAATCATTACCTTTCTTATGATCGACTTTCACCCCCAAACAAATCATTTCTTTTACAAATTTCCTCCATCACTGAACCTATGTCTTATATCCAAGCCTCTACATATGATCACTAAAGATTCGCTATGCAAGATGTGCTTCAATCTTTAGAAAATAACCAGACTTCGGTTCTTAAAATACTTTTCTATATACGTTTCTTTATCAATAATAGTAAACTGAGATCCAAGATAGCTTGGTCTAATGATTGAATTATACTAGATCTCTCTCTGGTGACAGCAAGATTCGTGGGGTCAACATCTTATAAAAGGCTTTAAACATAATCGCTTCCGGGCCTGAAAATGATTAAGTTTCCAAAAATTGAAGATACAGATCAAAAAATTGAATTTCAATTATTTGTGAAAACATATCAATTGGTAGAGCCACTGATAAAAGAAAGAGATGTTGTATATGAATCACTTACATATTCTTCTGAATTATATGTATCTGCGGGATTAATTTGGAAAACCAATAGAAATATGCAAGAACAAACAATTTTTATTGGAAATATTCCTCTAATGATTTCCCTGATAATCGTTCAACGGGAGGAAAGAGGAAGTACTTGGTAAAACAAAAAAATAATAGTAAACTGAGGTTTTATTTCTCCACCCGAAGATACTGTTTTGTATTAGTAACTTCAATGGTGCAATAATAATTGCAGTTATATAGTTTTTATCCTTTCCTGAAGTTTTTTACTTTGACTTTAATTATTAATAGCTTTATAAATTAACTTTTGTTGAATACTGTAATGAATGGATGTAGGTATCAAAAGTATCAAGTAGTAGTATTATACCCAAGAAATACTAAAACTTTAAGAATTTGATTTAAATTGAAGTGTCTGAATTTTTAAAAATTAGGATAATACAACATGGATAGGGATTAAAGTGAGCGGAAGAAGAAAAGAAGAGGAAAATTAGAGAAATGGCATCATTACTGAGATGCTCACAAACTGTATCATTTGGTAGTGACTTATTAGTTATCATTACATCTAAAAATTAAAATTTTTGTATCAATTTATGTGGGAATACCATATCTCTTATAATTAGTTTTAATTCCAAATAATGCATTAATTAATTTTTTTTATCTAGCAATAAATTCAAGTCATACTTTACATTAAAATCTTGTATCGTCTCAACTTTAATCTGAGCCAACAAATACTCCAGCTTATAAAATTATAATAGTTAAATGAATAAACTTACAAAATTTTTTTTATTAAAGACATTCCAACTTAAAAATTAGATCAATTAAGCATTTATTAGATAATTGAAAAATGTGAAAATTATTATTCTAAAAAGTTGTAGCAACGATAAATCAAATCAATGATTTGCACATATGAAAGCTAAAAAAGCACCCCAAAAAATTATTGTTAGCGGAATGCAGATGTGTGTACCGTCACCAAAATTCATAACTTTATGGGCAAATAAATCCTTTATAAATTTTGAGATGCCATAAAATTTTATATGTAAAATACTGACGAATTTGTATATCTTGTCATTGTTTTATCATGTCTAAGGATGTCAATTTCAAGTGATAAATAGTTTGAGAAATAAGTATTAAAAGGGAGAATTTAATTAATTAAGTTGCATTAATTCAGAAAAGAAGCTAGCTATTTTTTTTTTTTTTTATGTTAGCAAGTCAGCAACAATAATCCTTCATATGTACTCCCTAAATTGGATAATAATACATAAAATAATTAATAAGCACCATTAAATTCCTAAGTATTAGTTCTCTTTTGATATATGATTTCAATTTTCACAAGGGAGAGAACTACCCAACAAACACCCATCAAATTTTCACTACCCTAAAACACCACCAGTAAATTTTTTTTCATTCTTATACAAACCTCACAAAATCCCCTCCCTTCATCAATAGACAACCCATGACTTGTCAAAATATTTCATCATCCAAGCCTCTATTATATGTCCATGCTCTCTTAGCTTAGCTTAGCTTAGCTTTCCTCCATTACTTGAAATGCAAAGGTTCACCAATATATATAATAAGCTTTCTGTAATGTCCTCCACCAATTAATGTACCATTTGATAATACAAATCAAACAAATACAGTATCACGCCTCTTCTTTGGATTTGCTTCTGGATTTCCTTTTCTCATCATTGCCACAAATTCATCATAGTTGATTCTTCCATCCTGATACAACAACAATAATATGTCACTCTTTAGTGGAAGTAAAATAATGTGCTCATAGTAAAATGTTTTAGAGCCTGTTTGGTTCAGAGATTACGGGTAGTTATCGGTAGCTAACAACCAAAACGCTAACAGATAGAAATATCAGTTTTCAGCGTTTCAGTTATAATTTTGAATTAGTATACCCGTAGTTGGAAACTATACCTTATTGGCTCAATCGGTGCTTTTATATGGGTAATTGAAGGTAGGAAAAATAGAAAGAATAGACAAGAAGAAGATAAAAGATTTTGGAAATTACATTATCACCGTCAACTTCAGAAATGATTTCTTTGATGTCCCTTCCATCGTGCATTCCATACTCACGGAGTGCTTGTTCTAGCTCTTCAGTTGTGATAAATCTGAACGTAAAAGTTAAGCATCCACAGATAAATTAAAATGATTATGAAATATTAATGAAACAAATTATATATTTGAGTTAATGTTAGTTGGTTTTTACCCGCTGTTATCTTTATCAAAATGCTGGAAGGCTGTGTAAAGATGTTCCTCTCTATCCATTCGGTTCATATGCATTGTCGCTGTGATAAACTCATCATAATCTATAGTTCCATTACCATCTGCATCAGCCTGTTTTCATAAAAAAAACAAAGAAAATGCATTAAATTGTTCTGATAATAATATATATAACAGAAGTATCCCAATATTGCTTCACTTTTTATCTTGTTCTTCACTGTCTGCCTTATAGCAAGTGATCAGGGTTCAATTTCCTAATCTATCAAGAAACATAAGATACGTTTTATCAAGAAAATGCATTAGATGGTTCTTATAAATAACCAATGTTTGCTTCACTTTTTAGTCTTGATCAACGATTAATCGAGTGTCTGTCTCGTAGCGTAAAAGTTCAAGATTGGACATTTTTTTTTCTCTTTAAATAGTTGCAATGTATCAAGAAATTATTAAATAAATTAATGAAAATGGAAGAATCTTACAGCTTCCATAAGTTGTTTGACTTCAAATTCTGATAGTTTTGTTCCTTGCTTAGCAAGTCCTTGTTTCAGCTCTTCAAGTGTAATGGTGCCACTGTTGTCAGTGTCTATGCCTTTAAACATCTCCTTCAACCCCATAATTTCTTCCTCTGATAGACAGCCAGCAATAACCTACAGATTTGATGCACATATATATTTATAAATAAAAATTAACAAAATTATTTTATGTTAATTAATTACTTTGCTTCTTTTAAATAAATAGGTCAAGTTATTGATGAGTACCCTTAAAGCAACTTTCTTGAAATTATTCATTGCCTTAAATTGTTTCAGCCTACTCATTACTGCATTATCAAGAGGAGTATCAGGAGCTTCTCCATCTTCCTTGATCCATGGATGACCTAAACAAAGAAAACCAAATAAACTAAATTACAAACGTTTCGGAATAATCTTTCTTTTCTTTTTTTTTTCATTTCTTTCTCTCAAGGGAGAATCGCGGAAAAGCCACTCTGTTTGTCTTAATATACACTATGATCTCTATTGTTTCAAGCTTAGCAATTTTAGACCTTAAATTATAAGAGTTCATGTGATTTTGAGGGGCTAAAGATTCTTATGATTTAAGAACTAGGGGACTAAAGTGCAATTAATTTTAAAAACTTGAAGGACTAAATGCAATTTGGTTTAAAATGTCGAAGGCTAAAGTTTAGTAAAAAGTTCATAATTTTATAATTAAAGACTAAGGGTTTGAGTTATTATTGGACCTGTGAGACTAAAATTAGTAATTCTGAAACAGTATGGATAGAAGTGTTGATCAAACTAATCTCTTGGGGCAATGGCCAAGACCTCTTGCTTTTTCGTAGCTCGAAGACCTGCTGACCTCTCTACATTTTTTTTAATCATTTGTCTCTTTTAGTATTCAAAAATTTACCCTTTTAATCTTAAGTCCTAGCTTTCCGCCTAGCATAGTAAGTATATTTTCTAATGAACCCTATTTTTTGCAAAGTGGAAATATTAGAGAGAAATGTATAAGTATATACTTACTGAGAACTTGAATGGCTGTCAACCTCTGTTTTGGGTCTGAATTTAGCATTTTTCGAACAAGATCCTTAGCTTGAGGCGAAATTGAAGGCCATGGATCGGATGTAAAATCGACATGGCCACGTAAAATTGCATTGAAAATCCCATGCTCGGATTCTACATATCAACCATACTAATTTTAATAAGCTTGGTTTGAAAATGGCAGTGTAAATGAATAAATTAAAAAAAAAGAATAGAAAAGAAAAAGAAATTAAAACTTGCCAGCCCAAAAAGGTGGAACACCACTAAGAAGAATATATAACATGACCCCAATACTCCAAATATCAGCTTCTGGTCCATATCTCCTCTTCAACACTTCAGGTGCTATATAATATGCACTGCCAACAATGTCTTTGAATATTTCTCCTGTTCGAATGAAAAAGAAATTATCAAGTTCAGCATCTTACATATAAATGAAAATCAAATTGGTTAGTTTTTTTCACTTGGCTATCCAATACAGGTACGGTTCGGCTTGGATTAGTGTTTGGATAAACCAAGTCTCTTCCAGATTGATGTTCAGGAAAAAGATATGAAAGCAAACCTGGCTTGTAAAAGACAGAAAGGCCGAAATCGGTAGCCTTAAGAGGAGCATTCTCTTCCTTATTGAGCAGAAGAAAATTCTCCGGCTTAAGATCCCTATGGATAACACCCATTGAATGACAAGTATGAATAATTTGAACAATAGTTCTAAGCAAAGAAGCAGCAGCACGTTCTGTATAATGACCCTTGGCGATAATTCGATCGAAAAGCTCTCCACCTGCGCACAACTCCATCACCAAATGAACTGAATGTTTATCCTCATAAGCTCCTTTAAGTTCAACAATGTTAGGTTGACCAGTTAAATGATGCATAATTTGCACCTCTCTCTTAACATCCTCCACATCTTCTTTATTCACAAGTTTCCTTTTAGCTATTGTTTTGCATGCAAATTGTTCTCCTGTTATCTTGTGTGTGCATAAATGTGTTACACCAAATTGGCCCCTGCCAAGTTCTTTACCAATAGTGTACACTGACTTAACATCTTCCATTGGCCGGCCTAAGACCGGTCCAATAGGAGCACTCTTGGCTGGCTTAGAGGATGCAGCATTTGCAGTAGAAGGCGAAGGTGCAGCCGCCTTAGGTGGTGGTGTGGTGGAGTTTTCTTGGGCAGCATTGGCAGGATTGTTACTATCATCGTTATTGTTATTGCCATTATCTCCCTTTTCACTATCTGGAGCATCCCCAGATTCGCCACGAGAGCAGCAGTTGCCCATTGTGGTGTATAGGGGAAGAGAATAAAGGAGTAAGAGTGGTGGTGGTGGTGGTGGTGGCGGTGGTGGCGGCAGCTTTAGGAGAGAGAGGTGTGTTTAACTTTGAAGGGTAGGTGCAGAGAGAAAAATTAGACATGTATAGAAAGAGAGAGAGAGAGTTAGAGAAAAAAAGGTGGAAAAAGATAGGAAACAGGTTGGAATTTTTTGGTGTAAAGGAAAGAAAGAGGATTGATAGTGAGGGATTTTAGGACATGCTATGTGTAAATTGGGTTGAATTAGTCTTTTAGCTTTTGTTTGAAAATAGTAGGAAACCAATATTTTCAATACCAGGGTTGAGAGAATTTTCCGGCAAAAATAACTAGCAACCTTTTTTTATTTAATGGTTATTAAGACACACGATGAATATATATTATTACAGCCATTATTGATAAAAAAAATATTATTATCATTACAACTATTATATACATATATATTGATTTTGATAGGACCAGTTTTTTCCTTAAATTTTTCAATCAAAATTTCAATGTTATAAATAACTTCCTCTGTCCCAAAATATAAGTCATTTAATGTTTTAATAGAGATTAAAGAAACAATTAATTCTCCTAAATTATTACGAAATTCAGAGTAATTTGATCAAATTATCCTCTATCTCAAATCAAAAGTTATTTGTGAAGATAATTATTTTATTTAATGTAAACAAGGGTAAAAATATTATTTATTACTCCTTAAAATACTCAAAACGATTTATATTTTTAGATAAAATAAATACTAAAAAGCTACTTATATTTTAGGATGGAGAGAGTAATAATTAAAATGATACAAAAGAGAAGTGCAAAGACAACAAACAAAACCAAGAAAATTCATAAATAATTAATAGAATTTGAATTGACATTAGAACCTTTATGCCTTTACATTATACCACAACAAATTAATACTCCGACTCTTTCCAGAAAATAATTTATTAGTGAAAAATATTTTCTGAAAAAATGTTTTCTTGAAATAATATTTTTTTTGAATAATTTATTTTTCATTATTGGTTTACACCATTGGAATCAGTTACAAAATATTAAAATTTTAACTTATAAAACTATATAAAATATTTATAATTACAGAAATTTCATATTTTAAAAATTTATTGTTAAATATGAGAAAAATTGATAATAGCCACTGATGACCGACGATGGTGGCGGGCGATTGCTGGTGGTTATTTATAATTAATAAAATAAAAAATATATTTATAAGGTTATACTAAATTTTTCAACATTTGTAAAATGTTTTTCTATTCTGAAAATGAAAATTCATTTTCTTTTAAAATGGTTTAGTTTTTCTTTCATCAAGAAAATATTTTATTATTAATTGATTTTCCTGAATACAAATCTGAAAATGAGAAGCTCACTAATATATTTTGATACATAGATGTACCTTCTTCTAACCACTGGTTTCAGGATGACAACCAAAGATTAAAGCTCGGTCCGAGAAAGATCCTTAAGATGTCTCTGCGAAGAAATTTAAAAGAAATGAGTAATGCATATGGCTTAAACTACAAAATTAACCTGAATTTGCCACTTAATGTAAAGTCATTCTATTTTAATTTTTATACATCAAACATTTCAGTCTTGAAATTTAGATATATTAACACCCAAATTAAAAAGTGATCTAAGATTCTGAATAAAATAATATACATGTGGGTTCCATTAATTAGCATTGGGTTAACTTAAATCAAGACACTCAAACACACTGGTTTAATAACAGAACCCTAACAGTCAATTGCTCCCAAAATAGATTGATGGCTTAACAAACAAAATTAAGACTCTCCCTCTAAACCACCGATCTCATCTATTTTAGCTCTCTATTTCACTCGAATTCTTTTCTCTTTCTTGGAAATTATTTTGCTGATTTCATCTATGTGATTTGTGTGAATAGGAGTCAATTTGGGTAAATATTTTTTCTCTCTCTAGGATTTATGAATATGGATTATGGAATTGAAGGGAGTGATGGGTCAATGAACTCCATACTCAATAGCCAAGGACTGAGATGCAAAAACTCGTAACTAATATGAGGATGCCAAAGACAGTATTTGGCTTTCTTGGGTTTATATTTATTTGGTGATTGAATATGATGCGTTAAGGAATGAACGAAAAATACCTCAAAGTTTAATTAATTGACTTTGCAGTAATTTCAAAATTTCTACATTTCGTATTTTCTTTTTCTCATTTGCCTTTTGTAATTCTTTTGTTCGAATGGTTTATGTTTTGTAATGAAAAATTTGAATTTGATAGAATTACTTGTTTATTTGTCAGCTCGGTTTGGAATTGATCTTATTGAAGTTATGGAGACACCTAGATTATATGTTTTTTTTGTATCAAATTCAAATCTTTTGATAATATGCACATATTTGTTTTTTTTTTCTCAGTTTTCATTATTTCGTATCAAGAAATTGAGTGCAGTAATAGCAGCACTAGCGTGATGGTTTGAAAGTCAATTTTTTATTTATCGATATAACGGTGCATTTTAGTTTTTTAGATTAAGTTAACCTAAAGTTAACTGGTGGGACTCGCTAATATATTATTTTATTCAAATTTTAGCTTATTTTTGAATTTGGATTATCAATATATTTAATTTTCAAATCTGGGGTGCCCGGACTACAAAGGTCGAAGCACGGTGATTTTGCAATAAAACATAAAATTCAGGGTAATTTTGTTGTTTAAGCCAATGCCCATTAGAAAACATATGAAAGTCAATTAAAATATCTTGGCTTTACTCCTATCTCATGATTTGGGAATAATTAAAAAGAAAAAAAATGTAGAAAGAGCCCTTATTCCAAATCAACAAATTCAAAATTAAAATAAAAAACAAAAACAAAACAAAAAGAAAGAGTAGTGCCTATCTGACTAGGGCGGCCACTGTTATGATTTCAAAACTGCCAATTTCGGTTTTAAAATCGACATTTCCGATTTCAAAAAATGTGAAATCAGAATCGAATCGAAAATTAACGGTTCCGATTACGATTTGAAACTGAACAGTTATGGTTTCGGTTACAATTTCTTAACGGTTCCAAAACAACGATTCCGGCTGGTTTTCCAATCGATTTTCTGTTGAACGGCATAATTATAAAATAAAAAATTAGGAAATATTTTTTTTGTTGAAAATTTAAAATTTAAATAATTAAAAAAAACTTTAAGAAAAAAAAATAAAAAATGGCTCGAACTTTTTATAAAAAAAAAAAAGGCTTAGACAATAATTATCTATTGGACTTTAGAGAAATTATTTGACAATAATTTGGACGATTATAAATGGAAGAGCTTAGAAAGATTGGAAAGTAGAGAGCAGTAAAGAGAAATAATTTTGTGTGAAGATAAATTAAAATAATGGGTATTTATAGTAAACCAAAAAATCAAATTTCTACAAATACTCTTAAAAGTAGCTGTTATATAGCTGTTAGGATGTTAATTTGGGGATTTCATAAAAACTTTTGAAAAAGTAAAAAAAAAAAAAAATGCCGGAACCACCAGTTCTAACTGGTTGGAAAAACGGCTAGTTTCATCCAATTCCGGCCAGTTCTTGGAACCGACGATTCACGATTCCTCAAAATTTGAAACCGGAACCGAACCGCAAGCCTTCAGTTTCGATTCGAATTGATTCCTGTTCTGTACAGTTCCAATTTCGGTTTCCACCGTTCAAAACCGATGGTTACGGTTTCAAAAATCGGAAAATGGATATCCCTATATCGGACAACTAGACATAAGGACATCGTAAATATTCTTTTTTTTTTTTTTTTTTTTTTTTTTTTTCAAAAATCGGGAAAAATGGGAGTATCCCTATATCGGACAACTAGACATAAGGACATTCGTAAATTATTCTTTTTTTTTTTTTTTTTTTTTTGTTTATGGTGAGCGGTTCCATAACTATAGCTTTTTTTTTTTTTTTTTTTTTTTTTTGTTATGGTGAGCGGTTCCTATAACTATAAGCTCCTCTTATCATAGTCAACACAAGTGCGTAAGGGAATTTCTGTTTCTAAATTTTCTCTTCACTTCTCTACAAATTCAAATCAACTGGTAAAGCAAACATTCAACATTTTTTTTTTTTTGGCTTAAACTATAAAATTATCCTGAATTTTGCGACTTGTTGTAAAATTACTATAATTTGATCTTTGTACCTCGAGTACTCCAGTTTTGAAACTTAGATATATTAGTATACCAATTTAAAATTTACCTAAAGTTTTGATTAAAATAATATATTTGTGGGTTCCACCAATCAGCCTTGGGTAGGGCTGCACAATACCCGTTCTAACCTTACCCAATCCGAGTGACCCACCCAACTCGGTAGTTTGAAGATATAATGGGATGAATTGGATGGGTGATCATCTTTATAATTTACAGGTTGGGTTGTTCACGGGTTCACTAGATAAACCAACATACTCGACCCGATTCGGCTTGTGAAAATTCTTGAACCAACCAATGGAACCATCTCCATTGTTAAACGAAATCAAAACGAAAATAATCCCCACTTGCAGAAAATCAAAGTGGGTTCTTAGTTGCAAATCACATCTTTTGAGTAAATTGATGCCCTTTTGACATATTAATATCCAAAACACATCATATCTACTACTCCCTTAACTTGTTGACAAACATGTGAAGTTTGGCTTCAATATTAACTTATGTGAATTGGAGTTGCGTATGTATCATCATATGAATCCTTAAGAAAATTGCTCTGCTCCTCATATTCAACATACACCTCCAATTGATAAGTTGATTGAAAAAAATAGCAAAAAATGAATTGCATACACCTCCAGTTGCGAACCTTTATGAATTGCATAAATTTTGACTTTTACATAAAGGCACACGAATATGAATTTACCATAAAAGCATTTAAATTGTGAGTTTTGCCAGAATGGTACTTTAATCATGAGTTTTTGTTATAACAACATTTGAATCATGTTTTTGCCAGAAATGCATTTGAATCATGAATTGTGTTTTTCGCCAGAAAGGCATTTAAATCGTGTATTATGCTAAAAGGCACTTGAAATCATATTTCTACTAGAATGACACTTGAATCGTGAATTTCGCTAAAAAGGCATTTTAATCGTGTTTTTGCCAGAAAGGCACTTGAATATTGATATTTTCTTTTTACTAGAAAGGTAACTTGAATTATGAATTTTTTGCTAGAATGGCACATGATATTTCGTCTTGCTA